TCTCTCCTTTTCAGCTTTCTTTGCTGGATTCCTTATAGGGATCACACCCTCTAATCATAGGTATCCCTCTGTGTTCTGCCCTGGACCCTCTTCTCTTCTCCCTCGGTACTACTTCACTTGGTGATCTCATCAGCTTCCATGGATTGAATTACCATCTCTATACTAATGATTATCAAACCTACTTATCCTGACCCAAACTCCACTAATCTCCACTCTTGCATCTCCAGCTGCCTTTCAGACATCTAAAACTGGATGTCCTGTAGACATATTAAACTCAACATGTCCAAAAGAAAACTTATTATCTTTCCCCCTAGTTTCCCCTCACTCCCCCACCTCCCCATTACTGTAGAGGACAACACCACTTTCCCACTCCCTCAGGCTCACAACCTCGGAGTTATTCTGATTTCCTCACTACCTCTTATCTGTCCACCATATACAATGTGTTGCCAAGACCTATCAATTTCACCATTACAACATCTCTTAAATATGCCTCCTTCTCTCCTCTGATGCTGCCATCGCTGTACTGCAGGCTCTCATCACCTCACACCTGGACTATTGCAATAGCCTGCCGGTGTGTCTGCCTGTCTTAAATCTCTCCCCACTCCAATCCAACCTCCATCCAGTCACCAAAGTAATTTTCCTAAAGCACAGGTCCAAACATGTTATCTCCCTACTTATTAACTCCAGTGGCTCCTTTATTTCCTCTAAGATCAAATATAAAATACTCTATTTGGCATTCAAAGCCCTTTATTACCTAGCCTCCTCCTACCTTTCCTGTCTTCTTACACCTTACTCCTTGATGCAATCCAGTAACACTAGCCTCCTGGCTGTTCCATGAACAAGACGCTCCATCTCTTGACTTTTGGCATATTCTCTGTGTTCCCAATGTCTAGAACAGTCTCTCTCAATTTTGCTCACTGACTTCTCTGGCTTCCTTTAAGTCCCAGCTAAAATCTCATCTTTGACAGCAAGTCATTCCCAATGCATCTTAATTCTAGTGCCTTCCTTCAGTTAATTGTTTCCTATTTATGCTGTATATAGCTTGCTTTGTGTATATTTAGTTGCATTTGATTTTCCCCTTTAGACTGTAAGTTCCTTGAGGGAAGGGAATGTCTTTGCCTCTTTTTGTAGCTTTTTGTATTTGCTTAGCAAAGTGCCAGGCACACAAAAAACAATTAATAAATGTTTATGACTGATTGTTTTTGTATGAGAAGTAGGCTACAGCAATAGATAAAAAGCCTGCCAGAAAACTGGGATTTGATATTAGGCACTGACACATAATGATAATGTGACCCTGGGCAAGTCCTTTAACCTGTCAGTGCTTTAGGCAATTCTCTATGACTATTAAGTAGCAAAGAAGGTGTCAACTAGTCTTTAAAGACGGCATTTCCTCATCCAGGGATCCCTAATAAAATGAAACCAGAGGTCCAGGCCCTAGCCCAGTTGTAAAATTATGTATGTATGTATATGCTGTCACTACTGATAAAATATGTGACAGCAGCATAAGGGTAGAAATTGTTGCATTTTTATTTTGTACTACCAATTCTTAATTTAAACCCTATGTCAATAATCAAGTTTTACAGGAAAAAAAATACTAAAAGCCTAAACAATTCACAAAGTTCTCTTTCAGCTTGCTTTGTTTTAACTTACTGCACTTACCTTTTCTTCTAAATGATCATACATCACAACTTTAATGTAAGCATATTTATTTAATAACTATTCAAGAAATTACTAAAATTCACTTGAGGGAAAATATTACTAATTTTAATTCAAATGCCTGTCCTTGTTCTACCAACAAGTAGAATTTGACTACAGATCTTTTGCAAAATTGTGAATATTTGGGAATACTTTGAAAAATGTCAATTCTTGTTCTGAAAATAAAGCTAAGTTGATTCATATAGTCATTAGTTTTACTTTGCCTTATAATTACCAAATTATAATCATTCAATAGTATTAAGGCATTGAGGTATTGAGGAAGCTAGGTGGTGCAGCATCTGCTGCAGACTGGGCCCAAAATTCAAATCCAGCCTTAGATACTTAACCAGCTTTGGGAATCCTTGATCAGGCACTTGTTTGCCTCAGTTTCCCCAACTGTAAAAACACATAATAGCACCTACCTCCAGGGTGGTTATGAGGCTCAAGTGAGATATTTTAAAATGCCAGCTAGTTACATATTTTATTATGCAAATTATATGTTAGAATACTACAATAATAATTCTTAGCTCCTAAATTTAAAATTCAGCCAATTAATCAGTTAATTAAATCTAGTAAGAACATTAACTACAACTTATTTACAAAATAAAATAGGAGAGAAGTTGAAGAAAATTTGTGTCAATCTACAGGAGACAAACATTTCCTAAAGATAATGGGCTACACATAGGCAAGGACTTAGCAAATGCTTTTCATGGCAATAATAATAGTGTGTTTATTTCTACAGACATTTGTGTTAAACATATGGCCATCAGAATAATTGTGACATGCTTTTGTGATACTAAAATGGGCTAAGCCTTTTAAGAGTGATTACTTTCTAACAAAAGCCTACTTAAATTATTGTTTACCTAAATGGCATATATCCAAATTTTGCACCAGCATTACAAAAGGCTTTATTGCTTTTGAATCACTAACCAATTTTTAAACTGTTTGTTGTACAAGATAAGCACCATCAAGTTTTTTAAAGCAATTATGAAATCCAGTGTTAGACTCATATTTCTTTCACAAAATTATTCCATTAGATCAGAGCCCTGTATTGCTAACATAACAAAATTATATATATGCATATACATATATATGTATATATAGTGTGTGTGTATGATATGCAGTTTAAAAAGTTAACACTGTAGAAAAACTGAGATTGGAAAAGTGTCCATGTTGTTTCTGGATCAGATACTCTAATTTTTTAACCTCACAACATAAGAAAACATTGGTATTTTCAGCATTCAGAGGATTATTCATTTTGTTTATGTATCTGTTAGGCCAATACAGCAGGCCATATAATGTTTTTCCCTCCTGGCAAGTCAAGGTTTTCTGTTTCTGTATAACTGGCATGATATTCTTTGAAGCAGAAAGGAGGAAGCATTTACTACCCAAGAAACGTAACTCCACTAGATAGTTTTATTTACCTTTGCTTTAGTCACTATAGCAATGAGGGACAAGATGTTGTCAAATTGTTTTCTGCCATAGAAAGGGTTAATTTAATTAAATAATGTGGTGTCTCAGTAGTGACTGTGTTCTTTTTTAAGCAGCAATAGCATCACACCTATTAGATTTGAATCCTAAACACTTTTTAATAGCAATATCAATGCCAAGATGTTTAGCATTTAGAAATCATTTTCCACAAGTATTCATAAAACCTGTGAAAAGAGTACTGATTTCCTGGGATTCAAAGACTAACTGTGCTGGCCTAAAAGCCTGAAATTTTCATTTCTCAGAAGACAGTCCTGAGAAAAGTTGATCCGTTATATTAAAAACTAGTGCCTCTTTCATCTAGATAATGATATCCTATTAGATATTTTAAAACTGAAAGAAAAAAAGAGCATTTATTCTGAGTCACATAAGCCTAATGAAGTAGAAAAAATACTGGTTTTGGAGAATAGGATCTAAATCTGGAAAGGACCTTAGAGATCATATAATCCAACTCCCTCATTTTTAAGATAAGGAAACTACATCCCAGAGAAATTAAGTAAATTCTCTTAAGGTCGGATAGATATGAGAGGCAGAGGTGAGATTTCCACCTAGGTCCTTTACACCAAATCCACTGCTATTATACCATACTGCAGCCTAAATTCGAATCCCTGGCTCTTCCACTCACTACTTCTATGGGCAGACCACTGCACCGAGATGGGCCTCAGTTTCTCATCTGTAAAAGGGGTGGGGGAAGGGTGTTGAAGTAAATTTTTTTAAAGGTCCCTGGCAGTTTTAAATCCTCTGATATCCTAGATTAGATGTGATCTCCAACAGACCAGGGGACCATGTCTTTTCTAAATTCTGCATCTCATACAAAGTCCAGCACAGTCCAATATGTCCAGTATACAGTAGGCAATTAGCATTTGTTGAGCATTTAAAAAGCTACTCACAAGCACTGTTACAAGATACATGAAAGATAAATAAGTGCAAGAGTTTACAAATGACATCCATAAAGATTCATCAGTGCTAATGAAATACATCTCTGTTTATATCCTTTGTGTGTTTGGGTTTTATAAATTTTCATAGTGTAGCAGTTGCCTTTCAATGACCTACAACAGAAGCAAAGTTTTGTTTCTCTCCTAAAACAAAAGGGGAAACCAACCTGGGACCAGCACTTAACTTTGGTAAAGAATTCACCCACTTGACATACAACCTTGTGGCACAGACCTCTTACTTTATAGAGGGAACAGAGATTCAGAAGTTAAGTGACTTTTCCAGGGTCACACACCTAGTAACCATTAGAGGTGTGTGTGTGTGTGGGATTAGATTACTTGACGAAAGATTAAGATTTTTGTATGTTCAGTACTTAGGTTACCACACTTGCATCCTAGGCAACAAACTAACACCAAACCAGTGTGAGAATGAACTAGCAGGTCAAACAATAAACTCACAGAGGAAGAAGCCATAATAAAATAGTTCAGAAGTCGTGACTCCAAAACACACACATACACACACCGTGTGATGCAAGTAAATATGTACCCGCAATTCCGTTCCTTTGGAGGAGGCGAGCGTGTTTTAGACTATAAGATTCCACTCGCATTTTTTCATAGGGCAGTAGATGGTTGCTACTGACGGCAATCCAATGTTTGCACCATCATTTTTTTTTCTACATTAGAAACGAAATTCAAAATTAAACCTTTCTTGACATGGTCATCAGAAGACTGTGAAGAATAGCCCTGACAACAACGTATTTCCAACATTTTTCCCAACATTTCCCAACACCCACCCACCTTCCCCTATGGCTCCATACTAGACAAAACCCTCGGAGGACAAGTGCCCGGGGAAACTCTAATGTAAACAAAACCTTCTCGACTTACCTTGATCCCTTGCTGTTGGGTAGTGAGAATTAACTTTGACTCATCCAAGAGCAAAACTTCGCAATAAAATTCTTCCTGGACGGCACAGAAACAGCCCATGTCTGCTTTTGATGTCCGCTGGAGGAAAGAAAGAAAACAGACACTGGCTCCGTAATCACCCCCTTCCTACAAGGCTCTGATCTGTATTATCCAGTGCCAAGGACAGAAAAGGGGGCAAGTAGCTCGGAGAGGATTTTGCAGTCCACAGTTCACAAAAGGCCCCAAGGACTGGTTAGGTCGTCCCTGCCTTGGGAGTCAAAAGTCACCAGGGGACCTAGAAGCTTCGGCTGAATCGCACCAGCAAGACCGACTATCCCCGCACATCCTGGGTCTCCAGCAGCTCTCTTCTGAAGTCGGGTGAGGAGGAAGAGGAGAAGGAGGAAGGGCGTGGGGGGACGGGTGAGAAAAGCCTCTCCTGCAACCCTGGGAGAAACGAATGTCTTATAGCAACTGGGGAGAAGGAAAGACAAGTGCTGGCGTCCCTCGCTGGCCTTTTTCTTCTCTCTTCTTCGACTTCCAGGACCGACGGCAAGGTCTGGTCCACCTGGCCCAAGTGAGTGAGTACCCCGCGGCAGCTTGGGCTCCTCCTCTCCCTCACATCACCCTCGGCCGCCGGTGCTCGGGCTCCGGGTTTCCGCCCCGCCCAGCGGCGGCCCAGCTGCCAGGGTGGGTTCACCTCACACTTAGGGACAGAGAATGGAGGGCGGGAGCTGGAGGCTTGCGTTTCTTTTGTGTAGGGGACACCGGGGTCTTCCAGAAAAGGGAGGCGGCCTAGGCTGCGGAGGAGGGAACGAGGGGTAGCGCGGTTGGCCCAGCTCAGGTGTGCACAGGGGTTGTCCGGTGCAGGCTCCCAGGTGACCGGCCTGGGGAGGGCTTGTCAGAGCCGAAGGCCGGGGCGAGCTATGCGTGTCGTCTGGCTGAGGAGCTCAAGTGCATGGCCCTGGGACAACCTGCTCTGTCCAGGCAGGAGATGACCTCCCGGGCGCTACGTCCGCCACAGCTCGCGGACCAGGACGCCGGGAGGACCGAGCCAGCTTCTGAAAGCCCTGCGGCTGTCCGGCTGCAGCGGGGGAGGACAGAAGCACCTTCCTCAGCTTCTCTCGGGGGTAGCCACAGAGCCCAAGGCGCGGGGGGACCAGCCCGCGAGCAGCACTGGAGGCTTGCTCCTGGGGAAAGTTCTCTCCCTGGCTAGACGGGGGCGATCCCGAAAGCCAGGGGCCCTCCCGCTGGGAAGACGAGCTCAGGATTTGAGAGCCGGGTCGTTCTTCCTGCAGTCCCAGGGGCCCCGGCTGGGAGCGGAGGACAATGAGGGATCGGGTGGCCGCTCGCTGAAAGGCTAGTCCGCAGCTGAGAGCGATGAGTCAGTCGGCCTTGTCCCATCTAAACCTGTGCTCCAGCTGGGTTCCAGGACGGGTCACTTGTTCGGTTGTGACCGTTTCCAGACGGTGAACGCTGGAGCGCAGCAGAGGGGCAGGGTCACAGTGAATAAAGCTCAGCGCTGCACCCCAGCACTCCACGCCCTTCCAGCCTCCAGCAGCAATCGTGGACCCGTGGGCACACTAGCTCTGAAACAGCAGTGACCCCTGGTGGGTCCTGGTAATTGGGCAAAGCCTGGAACAGGTGCAATTTACTGATTAAAACAGACATGTTGGAAGCAAGTTAACGAATAATCAAAGCTTTATAGGAAGAGTGAATCAGATGGGGAAGGGAATTTTTAAAAATGTGCCTCTTATCATTTCCCTAGTTAAATAGTGCCAGTTTAGCTAAATGTGTGGTCTGGGGCGTAAAGGCATCGAAATAAAAAAATGATAATGGCAACTTTTGCCACTTTTAGCAGTTCCCTGCAACACTGACTAACCAAAGAAGGCCTAACCTTTGTTGAGGAACATTTGACCCATAAAATTGAAAATAATCCTAAAAATGCATTATAAAACTGCAAACTTTTGCTTGGGTTCTGCCTGGTCATCTGAAAATCGCAGCCATCTTCCAACACTCAACTCCTGTGAACTTGCCAGATTTTAAATTTATTAGCAAAACCTGAATCCATGCAATAGGCACTTGGTTTAGAGCAAAAGTTTTGCCAAACTCTGATGCAGAAATAGGCACTATAAATGATACTTGTTCCTGCTTTTATACCTTTAGAGTGTAAGATTTGGCTCTTTTTATATTTTTCCTTTACAAAGTACTATGTTTAATTACATAAGAGTCATATCAGAAACCTACATAGTAATTATATAGAATTTCTCTAGACAACAGAAAACTCAATGTCCTTGTTGTTTTTGGTATTTGTTTTCAAGGTATTATGTTACTGTCACATGCTTTAAATTGTGCTACTGCCACATGCCTTAAATTCCTATTTCTTCATTTTCATTATCAATAGTAGGGGAAAGAGGAGAGGAAAGATAGTTGCAGAATTTTCATGCTAATAATATCATTCTCAGAGGAAGTAATATTTATTTTTAATAGTGATAATTTGTGTCACTGAAAAAAATTTAATGAGCAGCATTGTTTACAATGACTAATAAATTAAAAAGAGAAAGTCATACTGGTTAGATCAAAGATAGGGTTTCCTTCTAATGAGTGAGTTTGGGTATAGTTTTCTCTATCCTAAATAATTAACTGAGTGAAACAAATACAGTAGAGGAAAGCCACTGTATAACAGAAATAAATCAAGAAAAAATAAACTGTTTTCTTTCAGAACAGAAAAATTCCATTTTTCTCCAACATGTGGATAGTATAATGTATCCATATCTACCATATTTTGATCTTCAACATTGAAAATAATCTTCTTTAATCAAGATGACAGTTTATGACAGTGACTATACACACTTCCTTCAAGATGTAACTCATGTAGGGGAGCATCTTTTACATGAAGCCTTTCTTCATTCCAACTGTTAGAGTCCTCCTGACCAATTTGTACTTACTTTGTATAAATACATACACATACGTATACATATATATGTACATTTTGTTTTTCCCCCAATGGTATATAAGTTCCTTGTGAGTAGGGCTTATTTCTTCTTTTTGAATTTCTATCCCCAGTACCTAGCAGAGTACCTGGCCCATACTAGGTACATAATAAATCCTGGTTCATTGATTGGTTGACTTTAATTTGATTTATTTAAAACTTGTTACTCAGCATAGTGATGTAATTTCTCTTATACTATAAATCTTTTTAATTTTGGTATTAGAACAAAACCTGGTGTGCTTTACCATCTACTGTCCAATTAAAAGTTGTATGTGGGACAGCTAGGTGGCAGAGTGGATAGAGCACCAGACGTGAAGTCAGGAGAACCTGAGTTCAAATCCTGCCTCAGACCAAACACTTGACACTTACTAGCTCTATGACCTTGGGCAAGTCACTTAACCCCAATTGCCTAAAAATAACTTTTTTAAAAAAATTATAAGATTATACATTTTACAATTATAAGATTACCCATTTTCTTCATCAATGGAGACAACACATTTGGTATCTAACATAACTGTTTCTGATGTGTTATTGTCAGAGGTAGAAGTGACAGAAAAAAAGTCTGAAAGAACAATTAAATTATACAGGTATACACAGAGGAGATGTATGGTGGGTAAACAGTTTTAATGAAGAATTGATTTTCAAGATAGATGAAAGGGGAAGCTTACTGAATGCTTGAAAAAAATCATACTTTCACTGAAAAAAGAAGTGATAAAGAGAACATCAATAAACTACTGACCTCTATGCCTACTTTGCCCTCTATAAAATCTTTGTGAGAATGAATAATTATGTTTTATTAAATGCCAGAAGGAACAGCAGAAATAACACTGACAATGATTATAACAATTTTACAGAAGTTTAACCAAGTTAAAAATTAATCACCATAACATGGAGATCAAAATAGCCCAGAAAATATTTTAGTCAGAAAACATCTAGCTTATTTGTGGTAGGAGCAACATTTACTATTAAGAAAACTGGAAGGTTCCTGACACAGGCTAGTTTGTTTGTTTCTAAAATAGTAATGAAACTATTGACCTTCTGGTGATGTCCATATATAGAATTGCCTTTTGGGTTGTTGGAAAAATGTTTGCTATGACCAGTGAGTTATCTTGACAAAACTCTGTTTAGTCCTTGTCTACTTCATTTTGTATTCCAAGGCCAAATTGCCTGTTATTCCAATGATTTTTTTATTTCCTATTTTAACATTCCAATCCCTTGTGATAAATATAACAACTTTTGGGCTGTTGTTTCTAGAAGACATTGTAGGTCATCATAAAACTGATCAACTTTGGCTTATTTAGCATCAGTGGTTGGAGTATATAGACTTGTATTACTGTGATGTTGAATAGTTTGCCTTGGATTCAAAGAGATATCATTCTGTCATTTTTGAGATTTTACCCCAGTACTGCTTTTCTCACTTTTTGTTGCTTGAGAGGGCTACTCCATGTCTTCTAAGGTATTCTTGCCCATAGTATTAGACGTAAAGATCACTTGAATTAAATTCACCCACTTTCCTGTTAGAGTTCACTGACACCCAAGATGTCAGTATTTAAGCTTTCCATTTCCTGTTTGACCACATCTAGCTGGGTTCATAGATCTTACATTCCAGGCTCCTGTGCAATATTGATCTTAACGACATCAGACTCTCCTTTAGTCACCAGACACATTCATAGCTGAGCGTCTTTTCAGTTTCGGCTCAGCTGCTTTACTCTTTCTGGGGTTATTTGTAGCTGTCCTCTCTCTTCCCCAGTAATATGTTGGACACCTTCTGACCTGAAGGGCTTATCTTCTGATGTCAATTTTAATCGTACCATAAGGTTCATTGGTGCAGGAGGAAGTAAAGATAGGGATAGCAGGTACTAAGATGATATCAGGGTCAGGAAACACAAAAAGATCTTTCTGTGAATCAGACTGTTTCCCACACCCTCCCCCACTTCACTGTAAATCTTGAAAATTTTTGGAATCTTTGTTTGGGTCTGCTTAGGATTAAGTTCACCCTTGTTCCTCATGTCCCATTTTTTCTGTCTATATTCTCTAGTCAGGTGTCCCTTTCTGCCACAGTAAAAACATTCCAAAGGTTTGTGGTTCCTCTTCATTTTGGACTTGTAAGGAACTGGAGGTGGAGCAATCGCAAAAACATTCTGTGTTTCTGGTAGTGTTTTACTTTTTCTTTTTAAAAAATGTTTTCATTTAAAATTTTGAGTTCCAAATTCCACCCCTTCCTACCTCCCTCCCCTCCTGGCTCCTAGAATCAGAAACATCTTATACGGGTTCAATTAAGTAAAACATTTCCATATTCGTCATTTTGTACAAGAAGACTTCAATAAAAGAAATAAAAGAAAGAAAGAAAGTGAAAAATAGCATGCTTCACTGTGTATTCAAACAAAAGCAGTTCTTTCTCAGGAGGTACATAGTATGTTTCATCATTAGTCCTTTGGGATTGTCTTGGACCATTGTATTGCTAAGAATAGCTAAGTCATTCACAATTCTTCATCGGACAATATTGCTGTTACTTTGTACAGTGTTCTCCTGGTTCTGTTCACTTCTCTATGCATCAGTTCATGTAAGTCCAGATTTTTCTGAAATCATCCTGCTTGTCATTTCTTATAGTGCAATAATATTCCATTACAATCAAATGGAATAGCTGAACGAACCAGTTTGTTTATCCATTCCCCAATTAATGGGCATCCCTTTGATTTCCAATTCTTAGCCACCACAAAATTAGCTGCTATTAATATTTTTGTACAAACAGATCCTATTAGGGCAGTGAGATGGCACAGTAGATAGAGCACTGGCCCTGGAATCAGGAGGATCTGAGTTCAAATTCCACCATAGATACTTGACCCTTACTACCTATGTGACCCTGGGCAAGTCACTTAACCCAGATTGCCTTGGGGGAAAAGAAAACAAAAAAAACCAAATAGATCCTTTTCCCTTTTTTTTTTTGGCTGTCTTTGAGATATAGACCTAGCATTGGTATTGCTGGATCAAAGGGTATGCACAGTTTTATAGCCTTTCGAGCATGGTTTCAAATTGCTTTCTAGAATAGTAGAATCAGTTTAGAACTGCACCAACAGTGCATTAATGTCCCAGTTTTTCCACATTTACTCCAACATTTATCATTTTCCTTTTTTTGTCATATTAGCCAATCTGATAGGTGTGAGGTAGTACCTCAGAGTTGTTTTAATTTGCATTTCTCTAATCAATAATTGATTTAGAGCATTTTTTCATATGACTATAGATAGCTTTGATTTCTTTGTCTGAAAACTACCTGTTCATATCCTTTGACCATTTATCATTTGGGGAATGACTTGTATTTTTATAAATTTGACTCAGTTCTCTATATATTTGAAAAATGAGGCTTTTATCAGAGATACTTGTAGCAAAATTCTTCCCTTATCCATAAATCTGACAGATAAACTATTCCATGCTATCTTAATTTGCTTATGGTATCACCATTTATATGTAAATTATGTGCCCATTTTGAGCTTATCTTGGTGTACAGTGTGAGGTGCTGGTGTATTATACCTAGATCCTGCCATACAGTTTTCTAGTTTTCCCAGAATTTTTTGTCAAATAATGAGTTTTTGTTCTCAAAGCTTGGATCTCTGGGTTTATCATATATTAGATTATTATGGTCATTTACTATAATGTATTTGTACCTAATCTATTCCATGGATTCACCACTCTATTTCTTAGCCAGTTATCAGATTATTTTGATCATTGCTACTTCATAAGACAGTTTAAGATCTGATATTGCTGGACCACCTGCTTTCACATTTTGTTTTCATTGATTCCTTTGATATCCTTGAGTTTTTGTTTTTCCAGATGAATTTTGTTAATTTGTCTAGCTCTATAAAATAAATTTTTGATAGTTTGATTGGTATAGTACTGAATAAATAGACTAAGTTAGATAGAATTGTCATTTTTATTATATTAGCTTATCCTACCCATGAACAATTAATATTTTTCCAATTGTTTAGATCTGACTACATGAAAAGTATTTTATAGTTGTGTTCATATAGTTTCTGCTTTTGTCTTGGCAAGTAGACTCCCAAGTATTTTTATATTGTCCACAGTTATTTTAAATGGAATTTCTCTTTCTATCTCTTACTGCCGAATTTTGTTGGTAATATATAGAAATTCTGGTAACTTATGGGGGCTTATTTTGTATCTTTCAACTTTGCTGAAGTTGTTAATAATTTCAAGTAGTTTTTAGTTGATTCTCTAGGATTTTCTAAGTATAGCATCATATCATCTGCAAAGAGTGATAGTTTTGTTTCCTCATTGCCTGTTCTAATTCCTTTTTCTTCTCTTATTGCTATAGCTAACATTTCTAGTACAGTACTAAATAATAGAAGTAATAATGGGCATCCTTACTTCACCCTGATTGTATTGGGAAGGCTTCTAGCTTATTGACATTACAGATAATGCTTGCTGATGGTTTTAGATAAATGTTACTTATCATTTCATTATGTTTCATTACATATCATCAAACTCCATTTATTCCTATGCTTTCTGATGTTTTTAATAGGCGTAGGTGCTATATTTTTTCAAAGGCGTTTTCTTCATCTATTGAGCTAATCATGATTTCTGTTGGTTTTGTTATTGATATGTTCACTTATGCTGATAGTTTTCCTAACAGTGAGCCCAGCCCTGCATTCCTGGTCTAAATTGTTTTACTTTTTTCTAATCTCTTTTCCTTTACTTTTCTCATAAATAAACAAAGCAATGCTCCTAAGTTCATTGATATTTTTCTCATTCCAACCAGGACAATTATTTTGAAAATAACAGTGAATGTCAGGCAGAGATTGGTTAACAAAGGCAGTATTGAGAATTTTTGCATGTCTAGGATTAATTGGGCCCAGTCCTGCGTATCACTTAGCACTTTTGCAGAGCCTATCATAAAATTGATAAGGGGTCTCTCCTTCCTCCTGTAGTTTCCTGAAATCTCCTCCAATTGTCTAGCCTGACAGAACATGTCTTCATTCCTCTGACAAGTGCTTGTCTCCCTTGTACAGGCCTAACAAAGTCAGCTAGAAGATTGAGTTCCCAATTGGGATTCTGTATTGGCCTATTAGGTTGAGCTCCCTGGTTCTGAGCTTGTCCTGCTGTGACCAGTCTATTTGCTGCTTCAATAACAGCAGTTTGGTTTTTTTTCTCCAGAGGAATAAAAGAATGTCTAATAAATCTGAGATATCACCCCAATTTTGATTGTAGCCTCCGAAGATTGCTTGAAATTGGTTAATGGTTGCAGTAGGGCTCTCATCAAATTTTGGGGCATTTCTTCTCCAAGTAGAGAGATCAGGACTGAAAGGATGATGCATCCTGATGGATATATATATCCTCCTGTTGACTCATCTTGTTTTGTCTTTTCTCTCAAGGGAAAAACACCAGCAGGGATTTTCTAAAACTTTTTCTTCCTCATTAATGTAGAGGAGATGGCTTTCCTTAACAAGCTTGTTCTTTCCCAAATTGGAGGCTTACCTTAGACTAGAAAGGAAATGGTTCTGAGCTGAAGAGAGTACAAATCTCCAAAGCTGTCTTCTCTTGGGAAGTCCCTTCGTGTACATCTTTACCAGAGAGCTGTCAGGGATGTTCCTCAGAGAGGGCCACTCTTGGATGCCTGGAGTCAGTCCTCGTGTCCATTCGAGGTCGTCAATTGTAAAATTAATTATCTGAAATAAAAGAAACTTAAGGCAAAAATTTCAAGTATATTATTGATGGGGGTTGGAATCCCGACCCCAAAAAGGAAAAATTCTGGACTTTCCCACATGGCCAAATCTATGGCATTTGCCTGAGGCTATAATCCCATCAACTGGCTTTTCATTGTGGCTACACCCAATCTCCCACAAATTTACAATAAATTTTAAAATTTAAGATGTGTCATTTTAAAAATACATATATATTTTGAAATGTTACAAAATAAAAAGCAAACAAACAAACCATTAAAGGGTTACTGAAAGTAGATTTCCAGAAGAGTGATGAGTAATTTTTTTTAAAGGGGGAAGTAGGCTAAATAAGTTTGGGAACCTCTGCTCTAAGTAATCTGCACCAAATGATAAGGAAAGATATAGGTCTTATCAATCTATTCACTTAATCTATAGGTATTATTTAGGCTAATGGGAATGCTTATGTTGGCTTATCTTCGATGTTAGGGCTAGCTTTTTTCCAAAGAAGAAGACTTAATCCTTTATTTAAGATAAATCAAAGTAACTTAACCTTTTGAGAGAGTCCTATTAATAGGTTTAATTGGTTTAATATTAATTAAAAGGTTTAATTAATTGGTTTAATCTTATGCTTATTGTATTACTTTAAAGATACACATTTATTCTAAATTATCAATAAATGATAACTACTAATAGAGCTTTTCAATTTATTACTTTCTTCACTTTGAAATTGGTGGGATCACAGATTCATTTAAATGTCAGACATTAGGGTAGGCACTGGGAATACAGACAAAAGTGACAAAAGAAACTAAGGGAAACATTTAAATATGACAAACAAACAAGTTTATGAGGGAGACATAGGGTCCAGAGAGAAAAAGAAACAGGTTCTTGCCAGTCAGAGAAGGGAAAGATGTTTTTCAGCCTTCATATACATGCGGTCCAAGGTTCACACAGTGAGTTTTCAGTGACACAGTTCCTTGTAGATGTGCTGATGAAATTTGGGCATGTCCTGGGTATTTGATTCAGTAAAGTAAATGTTATCTTTTAAAGTCTTTCAATAATATCTCTTATGCATATATTAAAATAAAGATTTCTGAAAATATGCAACAATAGAGATAATTCTAACAACTTTCTGTTAATATCAAGGCAGGCACAAAAGAGGAAGACCTATTCTGAAGGAATTCTGAAGGAAGCTGAAAGTATTCCTCACTGGAAAATAAGTTGGTCAGGAAGCTCCACTGCTGCCATGACATTCAAAGGCACTGGCAAGACATCTGTGGAGCTTGAAGTGGCCATTCACCAGATTTGAATCACCTTCAACATTCAATTGCAATGTTAAATCCCTCCAGAAGGTATGCACTGACTTAATTAGAGGAACCAAAGAAAAGAACTTGAAAGTAAAGGGACCTGTTTACATGCTCACTAAGATACTTCCGAATCACAACCTGAAAAATTCATTGCTGTGAAGTTTTAAAGATTTGAGGTAAGTTCCCAATGAGAATCCACAAACTGCCTCCTTGATTTGTGCAGTCTTTCTGAGATTGCTAAACAATAAATCATTTAAACAATAGATCACTTCTAGAAGCATTGAACCAAGTGTAGAAGTTGAAGTCATCATTGCAGATGCCTAATCAATCATCTCTTTTAATAAATTGATTGCAGCTACACACACACACAAAAAATTAATGTGCCTGTTCTCAAGAAGCTAACATTCAAACAGGGGGAGACAGCACTTATAGAGAGTGATGGCCAAAAAAAGCAGTTGTTCTGAGGAATTGCAGAGATTGTGAATGAACCTATGAGGCAATCTAATTCTAATAGTAATGATATTGATTTGATTGCTGTTCCCAGAAGAAGCAATAGAAAGATGGGAGGCACAGAATAGACCCAGGTTTCTTGGGGGTTCCTGGATTGGGAAGGTCTAAGGCCAGATGGAATAATGGACACCTAAGGACATCCTTAATAAAGGTATTAGAAGGATTAGGCAGGTTTTCACCTGAAAAGTTCTTAGACAGACACAACTTAACATATAGAGATTATGAGATTTCACTGGGCTTTTAGTTAATTGAATATAAAAAGACATTTGATTCAGTAAAGCAAATGTTACCTTTTAAAGACTTTAAATAATATCTCTTATGCATGTATTAAAATAAAGATTTCTGAAAATATGCAACAACAGAGATAATTCTATAAATCTTCTGTTAATATCAAGGCAGACATGAAAGAGGGAAACCTATTCTGGCCAAAGATGTTTATCCTTGTCATGGAGGATGTACAGCACAAATCAATTTCCTATAGATGAAGTTTGTTTTCCAGGTGTTCCAATATGCAGGTTACATTATATTGAATGCATGGGTCTATAATCACTCAAGAGAGTTCAGCTCACCTAGCCACACAAGAAAGACCAAGTGGATGAAGACTGCCTATTATCCAGAGGATAGGTTAGATTGCCCTTAGAGGTGGTCTAAAGGAGAGCATCAGGGAAATGTGTGACTAGAAAAGGGATGCTCATGAATGGGATAATCAATGGCCTTTTCTGCTCTGATACTGCCACTACTCTGATGCAGGTCCGCTTCACCTTATACCTCAACTATTACCATAGTCTATCAGGTACTCTACCTGCCACCAGTCCTACCACTCTAATCTGTCCTCCACTTAGCCACGAAATTGATTGATCTAAAGCACAGGTCTGACCATGTCTCCCATTCTACTCAATACACCCCTGTGTCTCTCTGTCTACTAGAAGATCAAATATAAGTCCTCTTTTTGACATTCAGAGTCATTTAGAACCTAATCCCCCCTCATTTTTCCAGCCTTCATTTACCTTATACTACCTCCCCTCTCTCCCCATGTTTTCCTTGTTCCTTTTCTAAAAAGACACTCTACCTCCCAACTCCAGGCGCTTTCAGGCTGTCTCCCATGCCTAGAATGCTCTCCATCTTCATCCCCACTTCCTGGATTTCCTGGCTTCCTTCAAGTTACCACTAAAATGCTTTCTTCTACAGGAAGCCTTTCCTGATTGTCCTTATTCTAGTGCTTTCTCTCTGTTGATTATTTCCAATTTATCCTGTATGTAGCTTACATATACACAGTTGTTTGTAAAGGTGAAATTGACAGGACTTGGCAACATACGGGATGGGAGGAGAGGGAGGATGAGAGATAGTGGGTAGTAGGTTTTAAGCCTGTGGGACTGGGGGAAATGGGGTGCCCTTGACAGATTCATAAGCCCAGTCATAATGGGGCAGCTTTCCTCCTAAACATTTTCTATAAGGTTCTAAAAAGTTCCTCCCCACTATTTGGTTAGCATTGGAAATGTTTTGAAGAGAAGCAGTAATGGGCACCATTAAACTATCAAAGAAAAAACATCAATACAATCACTCCCATGTCTCCTCCATCCTCAAAAAACCTTCACTTCATACATTCATTCTTAGCTACCTCCCCATATCTCTCCTCCCTTTTATTGCTAAACTTCCTTTCCTGTCATTTTCTTAACTCTCTGCAGCCTCTTTTCTGACCTCATCTTCCAATTAAAAATGCTGTCTCCAAAATTATGCTGTTTATTGTTCAGTTGTACTTGACTCTTTATGATCGCATTTGGGGTTTTCTTGGCAAAGATGCTGGAGTGGATTGCCATGTCCTTCCCCAGCTCATTTTACAGATGAGGAAACTGAGGCAAACAGGATTAAGTGACTTGTTCAGGGTCACACAGTAAATGTCTGAGGCTGGATTTGAACTAGTGTCCTCCTGGCTCCAGACCCAGCACTCTATCCACTGTGCCACCTACCTGCTCTTACCCTGACCTTTACAGTAAGCTTTTGGGTTAGACAATTTTCTAGCCACAAAAATGGTAAGCTTTTGGGTTAGACAATTTTCTAGCCACATAAAACTAGGTTCAAATAGTAATAAAGAACAAATAACATTCTTCCCACAACATATATATTATGTCATATGTACATATCTTTGTATAACTTTTTTGAACATAGTTTGCATGCTGTTTACCCCGTTAGACAGTGAGCTCCTTAAAAGCAGGTGCTGGTTTTTTGTTGTTGTTGTTGTTTTTGCCTTTCTTTGTAACAGCTGGTTACTCTTGTCTATGAAGTAGATTTATAAAATACGTCCTGTATTCATAGTGACTTTGTCCTCAGAGTTTTAGTTATGAAATGTCTCATGTTTACATCCCCAACTAGAGAATAAAAATCTTTAAGATGTGCTGGTGTTTGCAGTCCTGGCCCTCTGCTATGGCTCTCTCTTTTGTGTGGCTCCCAGAGCTCTTTAATGACCTTAAGCAAAGGACACCAAGCAATGTAAGAAGATGATCAGTCACAGATATTTATGAGAAGTGATATTAAATCTAGCAAATGTAGTCTTTCAATAAAATTTTTAAAAACACAGTTGAGTAGACTTAAGGCAATGGTGGAGTAGGGACTACTAGTACCCCTTGTCTGATTTTCTCTCAGCTTTTCTACTAATGTAGCAAGCACCCTTTGATTAAAACAATAAAAATAAACCAACACACCTCTTTGCTTGACCATACAGATGGCCTTGTGGTCTTGAAGAAGGGAGCTTCTGATATCTTGGCTATGAGTTCCCATAATTGTTCTGCTGCCATGTGAAGACTACTACCTCTCTGTTCTCTATTCCCTCATCTCAAGAGACTGAAAACTCCCATGGTACTCCATTCATGAAAAACCTCTATTCTGTTATAAAGATGACAAAATAAAAGCCATTTCCCAATTGATAAATGATCAAAGGATATGATCAGTTTTCAGATTAAGTAATCAAAGCTATCTATAACCCTATGAAAAAATACTCTAACTCACTATTGATTGGAGAAATACAAATTAAAACAATTCTGAGGTGCTACCTATTAGATTGGCTAGTAGAACAGAAAAGGTAAATGACAAATGTTGGAGGGAATGTGTGAAAAATGAGAAATTAATGCATTGTTGGTGGAGTTGTGAACTGATTCAACCATTCTGTAGAGCAATTTGAAACTATGTGCTATAAAACCATGCATACCCTTTGACTTAGCAATATCAGTGCTACATCTGTATCCCAAAAGAAATGAAAAACAAAAAGGAAAGGGACCTATATGTACAAAAATATTTATAGCATCTATTTTCTGAGGGCAAAGAATTAGAGATTGAGGGGATGCCCTATCAATTGGGGAATGGCTGAAAAGTTGTGTTATGTAATTATGATGGAATACTATTGTACTATACAAAATGATGAGTGGGATACTCTCAAAAAAAACCTGCATGGGCTTATGTAAAGTGAAGTGTACTGTGTACTGAGTAACAGCAATATTATAAGATGATCAGCTGTGAATGACTTGGTTATTCCCAGCAATACAATGATCCAAGACAACTCTGAAGGACTTATGATCAAAAATGCTATCCATCCTCAGAGAAAGAACTGATGGTATCTGAATACAGATTGAAGCATATTTTTTTTACTTTATTTTTTTTGAGGTTTTTTTTGGTCTATATTTTCTTTCACAACATGACTATTATAAAATGTTTTGCATGACTACATGTTTATAACCACTATCAAATTGCTTGCCTTCTCAGTGGGGTTGGGGGAGATGGGGAGAGAGGAAGGGAGAGAATTTGGAACTCAAAGTTTTAAAAATGAATGTTAGAAATTGTTTTTACATATAACTGGGAAAAAATAAAATACTAAACCAAAGTTTAAAAAAAATGAACAATTTAAATAAAAAGAAAAAAAGAAAAACCTCTATTCTGAGGGCTAATCTTGACTTAATTTCCCCTCTTCTTAAATGGGGAAGAACTATAGATTCCATGGCTTTTTGTAGTCACACTCGTAACAAGACTCTTTAGCCCAGGGAGAATCTCATCCACTAGCGTTTGCCAGACTTGAGGGTGGGAGGTACTTGTCAAAACTTGAGTAACCGGACTGAAATGAAAAGATATTTATTAGTGCACTAAGGAAGATTGCTCTCTTGTTGTAGTCTCAGTTTCTTTGGGTATAGATTGAGTTTTTACAGTTTTTTTAGACTCAGAGTATACAACCAATCAGCAGCATTCTACAGCAGAAAATAAATGGGAGAAACATGCGAAGTTTGGGGTAATGGAAGTTGCTAAAGGACAAGTCTGTTCCTTATTTTAGGAAATGCATTTCTTTGTGGTTAATCTTATCAGAATTCTCAGTATATATAGAAAGTCTCTAGGAAGATAATAGAAACCTCTTTTAAAAGAGAATCACTCTTGTTCATCCTGTTGTTGCCATTAAGGAGGGAAGTAAAGTGTAAACCAAACAGTTCTGTTTCCTTAGTCCCAAAGGTTACTTTCACCAGGGGAAACATGTTTTCCCCAAACTCACGGTAACCAAGTTCATCCATTTACAAAAGCCCTAGGCCTTAGCTTAGCTGACACCTAGAAAGTACTTAATAAATGCATATTGATTTGACTTGACTCAAAGAATATGCAAAATTTGTAGAAATATAGCCACAGCTGCCTGGTT